GAGCAACTTTGGAACATGGAGAAAACTCCAAATTTAAGTATGTTTATATATATGAGGAATGAGGATGCTATGCAAAGAATGCGGTGATTGGAGACTGAGAACAACAAAAAACCCAAATTTTTTTTGTTTTGTTTTCATGGCTACATTTTTTTACCAGCTCATTTCTTTTGTTTAATAATTTTAATTCTGACGTTGTTTTGTGGTACTTTTCAGTTAAGCATAGGTTGCATACTTTTCCACGAGGTTTAAACGTTTGTGCTTTATTTATAAATCAGTCAAAAAAATGTTTCTTGGATGAAACATTGTTAATACACTTATGTTTTTTATAAAAATAGGGTGGTTGGCATGGATTCGATATTAATAAGAGGGTAATTGACTTAAGTTTAGAGGTGGAGAGATGTCACCTGATTTTCTGTATGGTTGGAAGAAATTATCCAATAAATTAAAATAATATCTAAGAAACTCTTTGAATTTGTTTTTACCGTGTTTGTTTTTTCAATCTTTACGTTTGTTTTTACTGTTAAATATAGATTGAACTTATCATTGAAAGTGGTGACAAGATTTTTTTTATTTTTTAGATTCTGTACCACTATTGGATTTTACCACTAACTTTGTGAAAAAGAAATAAACCATCATTTGTATATTATCTGTTAAATTGCAATTTATATATCTACCTATAGTATGCATAACATATAGGCCAACAAGCTTGCAACAAAACAAAGTTTCTTATAGTGTCGCTAACGTATGTATTTGCCATCAACTATAGTGTCGCCAACATTTGGATCACCAAGTTTCTTAACTCAAATGATGTTGTGAGCAGTAAAAAGAAAATGTTTTCTAGAGTGATTTATAACTCCAAGTGTTTTGTCATGCATTTCTTTATACTGTTTAGAGCAAAGATTTAAACCCAGAGAAAATTACGCAGTATTTGCTTCATAAAAGTACCTCATAACAAAGTTAAAATAAAAATTATTTAAAAAAAAAGAAATGAGCTGGTGTCTATGCCGCTATAAAAATACACTTTTTATAAACATCACATATGTAGATATACAATATGTATATAATAGTATAATATACTGTACAAATAAAAATAAATTACCATATTTTATTTATTGCTTAAAAAAACTTAATAATCAATTTAAATCCTACAACTGCTTTTTCCTTCTTTTATTTTGACTTTCTTTTATAAACTTAACGTACTTCAAGCGGTTTCTATGGACTTGATGAAAATTTAAATTTAGCATTTGTTACGCTGAAATATTTAGTTTCATTTTCAATGTAAATTTCATAAATAATTGGAAAAACTCATTGAATGAATTCAGCATTAAAGTATTTGCAACGGTTTGCTTTAATTTTTATTTTTGAATATGCGTTATTTATTTTTTAACTTTAACAAAAAATTATTTAATTCATATTTGTTCATTGGTCCGTTTTTACAGTTATCCTAATTTCCTAAAACTTTAAAAAACTAAAACCTTCTGAAGCAAAATAATCGCAAAATAAAGAATAAAATAAATACCATTCATTAACAATAATTTTAATGGTAATTTTTTTTAAAGCGCAAAAATAAACTTATTCGTATGCTCTATGATTTTATTCAATCCACCTGATTTGTTCCATGCCACTGCATAAAACTCAAAACGAGATTGCGTTTTAAAGTTGAAGCCGTTAGCAATGACCAAATATAGTTTGACAATAGTTCCGTTTTTTACGCAATAGGATGGAATAAATCAGGCGGATGGAAGAATCTTTTTTATTAATTTTTTTTCAACATTTTTACTTCCAACAAAGCTGAAAGCAACCACTGTTAGTGTTGAAAGATACTGGAAGAAAAAGATGAAATTTATAGAGCGAGATAACGATTGACTGACGACATAAAAGACTGCAAATTCTATGAATCAAACTGATGATCGAGAAAAATAACTAGACGAATAAGAACTTTTGGAGCACTTAGCAACAGTTACTGTAAAAGGATGAGACTTAATTGAATTATTTCGTAACTCGTAAGAACGAGTTTTAGTTGATGGCACAAAAGACGCTAGCTAAAGGTTGGCTGCAAAAGCATATCTAACTCTGTTTACAATGTTTGCACCTTGCCTAAAAGTAAAAAAAAAAATCATTGGAAAATCCGTCTAAGATATGGCAATAGTGTTCCATGCAAGGACAGATTTTAGATTTATAAATATAAAAAATAAAATTGGGAGTATAAAATTTGCGAACACGATAAAGAGATGCAACCTTAGCAGATTCTATTTTTGCAGTCCATTTGATATACAGTCTCCAATAAAAATTAGCAATATAGTAAAAGTGTTGGTTTTTTAATAAGTGCTTATTTAATAAGCACTTGTTAAATAGTTTTGAAAGTATAGACGACAGTTTCGGAGAACGCTTCTGTAAGACTTTAACATGTATGTTGTCCGGACCACAGCTGTAGAGTCTAAGCAGGAAATTTCTTTAGATACAGAAGCTAGAGTGATACGAAAGTCAGGCAATGCACTAACCTGTTTGTCGACGATGAATATCAAGTAGCGCGCGACTAGTGCTCTCAAGAGATAATTTTGATAAGAAATTCTTAGCGAACGGTTCAGGTTTGTCTTTAGGTGAGGTAAGAAATCTGAACCACACAAGATAAATGGAATAACAGATTTGCCCTCATTATAGATACTATTAAAGATTCTCCAGAAGTCACGAGAGCCAAAATTTTGAGATGAAATGAGGTTTTGTGATCTGAGAACAGCGGGATTTGGCGATAGACAAATTCTTTTTACAATGGTTTCTAGCAATAGTAAACAAAAGTCTGTTATCTAAATAAATATTTTGCTGATAGATATGAAAGTAATGGTTTTTGAAGTTGCACCAGTACAATGTGAGAAAAATCATGGATTTTACTATAGTAGTTTTTTTTGTTTCCTTTTATATATTGTAATATATAAATATAGATATAATTTTTATATAAAGGTAATGGTTATTTAATTGTTGTTTTCAAATTTTTCATTTAGATGGATCAGATAAATGTATCAGATAAATGTGATTAATACTCAAAGGAGTGTAATAAATCAAGCGGATGGAAAATTATACTATAGTAGAAGATTATTCCATCCAAATGTATAAAACGTCAAATTGAAACTAATTTTATATCTAAACTTTTAAGTTAAAGATATCTTTCTTTTTCAACGGTTTCGGTTTTTTAAATTTATTTCTACTACTTCGTAACAACTTTAGAATCATTTTCTTATCCTGTTCAATATTCAAGAGTAATAAAACCCTAAAAAAAGAGTCTTTTTGAGATTGGTAACAAACAGTAAAAAGCTGTATTCGGTGAAACACAAAATTTTTCCTTAGAATAAAATTTATTTATTTTCAAGTGATTCTGGTATAAATAAACTCACGCTTGTAAAACGATAAATAATTTTGAAGTTAAAGCTAAACAAATAGAAATATTAACATTCAAAGTTTCGTTGTTTTAAAAATTGTGTTGATTTCAATAACATTTTAAACAATATTATGGAGAAGATATATTTAGCTTCATTTACAGTAAATAAAAAGGCACATCTAGTTTCTTTATTAAAACCTGTATTGATACGTGTTTGTCACTAAAAAAGGCTTAAACCAAAACATGTGTATATTACGGGCAGTTTTACTCGAGTTTAACACGGGTTTTTAAAGTTTTAAAGTCAAATTTGAATGTCGCATTCTTTTATATGTGGTTTCCATTTCCTACGGAATGCAATGCAAAGTTGTTTTTTATGCATTTTTTCCTAAAAAGTAACTACGTATTAAAAAAAGTCACTTAATTATAAATCTTTTTTTTTACAAAATGTTTTAACAAAACAACAAAAATGGAAGGATTCGTTGACGAGCTTAACTAATTTATAACACATCATGTAATAGACTTAAAGCTTGATAAAGTGACTTTTTCAATATGGATATGATTTTTACTGTAAAAAAAGGCCCTTGAAAGATTTCATCCAGGGCCCTCTCCGGCTCTCTACGGCTCAGGATAACTTAAGAAACACTAAAAACAAAAACGTTTTTAGTGTTTCTTAAGTTATCCTGAAAAAAAAGTTTTTACCATGTTATTTTTTGCTATATCTTATTGCCATAATATGCTATATAGAAGCTATATATAATATTACATAGATGTTGTAGTTTTAATATTTTAATGTTATAGTTTCGCTATTTAAAAATAAAATAAATAAATGCAACATCTTTAAAACAAATTTAGAAAGAGGTTATTATTTTTTATACATGGTGGCCACTCAAATTTGAAAATAAAAATTCTATGTTTTTTCCATGACTCTTCATACACTTTTATGATAAATCACTTGAGTAAAATATTCAGTACTTGCCATGCGCTAAGGATTTGCAACTTGGTCATTATAAAACATAAAAACCAAAAACTATTTTGTAGAAAGTTTTGAAATCATGTCTGAAAAGCTTTTTCTATTACATCTCTCATAAAAGCTTTTTCTATTACATCTCTCATAACTTACACTGCAAAAACATCTTTTTTCAAAAAGACTAGACATACCAGTAATTTTCTTTGCATCCTGAAAATATCACAAGTTGAAAAAAATAAAGATCATTTTTAAAAAGTTCCATGAATTTTCCATGATTTTCAATAAAAATTTAGGAATTCCTTGAGTTTTTCCATAACGAAATAAAATTCCATGATTTCCATGATTTCCATGACCAGTGGCCACCCTGTTTATAGTTTTAGATTTGTTGTATTAAATGATGCTCCAAAACTATTTTCTTTAAAAAATTAATTTTTTCTAAAATGTTTTTTTGAAAGAATTTGTTTCAAGCAATTACAATTACATTAATTTAATTAATTACAACCTATACTTAAGTATAGGTTGTAATTAATTAAAAAAAGAAAAAGAAGTTGTAAATCTACATTTTAAATAGGATATACAAATGAAAGAGTTATGTTTGCTTCTACAAAAACTGTAAATCAGATCAAATTTGTTTTAATTGACGTCACTTTAGCGTGTGTGTATTTAAAAGTAAACATTAGCGCGCGTAATATATAGTCAACTTCGAAAAAACGTTTTAAAAAGCTAAAAAATGAAACAAATTTTGTTGTGGTGTTTTCTTTTAGTTTCTGTTAATGGAAAAAGTAAGTTAATATTATATGACTGCATAAAGTTAAATAATGCTCATTCTAGTTAAAAACATAAATATATATGAAAAAAGTTATATATATATATAAAAAAAAAAATCAAATACATAATTTATGAGATATTAGGGGTTTGTAAACGTGAAAAACTTTATACATAGATTATTTTTTTATATACTTATACGGCTTACAGTATAAGTTAAATGTTTTATAAAAACAAACCAATAGAGTCATTAAAACATACACTTACGTAGTTATTGGTTGCTATTAACTATGTTTCTTTTAGAATTTAAAACTACTTTATTAAAAAATTTGATTTAAAGCGTTGATTGATAAAGGAATTTTTCCTGATCGAATAAAAATTGCTGAACTTTATTTATTTTTAAGGTGACATAACCTAATATCTTTAAAATTTCTTAATTTGCATGATTTTTTTTGCATATTTTTTTAACCCATACACTCATAACATACACTTTGCTTAATTTATTTAAATTATTAAAGCACCATACAATATTATGGAATCCCTAGCGGAATACTAGTATTAAAGTGAAAAAGCTATTTATCAAACGGAGTGTCTATTCACACGTTTTTAACATGCGAATAGACTATATTTAATTATAGTCTTTTCGCACGTTTAATAAAAAAAAAGGGAAAAATCATCGAGCTTAAAGGGAATTTAAAAAAAATTATTTGGTTTATAACTTTAAAAATAAATTAGTGCAGTGGAGTATTAATGCAGTACTTACGTTCACTGACTTTTGAAGGATGTGCGCACCGTAGTTTATATACATATTGACTGCTTATCTAGGGATAAGTATAAATACAATGACGAGGGTTTTGGACAGGCAATTTTTTAATTAAAAAAAAGAAGTATTTCTTAATGTTTATTTTATCTATTGGCACATTTTTGTTTCTTTTTGAATAAAAATTTAATTATGATTAAGTAATTTTATTTATTTATTATTATAACTGATTAAAAAGTTTAAATTTTAAAATATATGACTTAAGTTATAAATATTTTTTATTTGTGAGAGATTTCATATTAAAAACCTAACTTGAAATTTTTTTTTTTAAACGTGCGAATACACTTTAATAAGATATAGTCTATACACACGTGCGTGCGAATAAACTCACCCTTTATGAAAACTAAAGCAATTTGCCTGTTGTAAAAAAAAAAAAAAATTAAATAATTTAATTGATAAACCCGGCGTTGTTACTCACTGGTACGTTCTCAGGTCTCTGTTTATTTTAATTCAAACATAATGCTTCAAATCTGAGCAGCCATGCGTAGTGGTAGGGCACTTGCCTCAGAAAAAAAGGATCCGTGGTTCAAACCCCACCTAAGTAAGTTTTTCGACATCGGTTAGAAAGGAGGTGTGAACTTCCAATTAAATGCTCATCCGCGGTGCTCTGTGATAAGACCGTAAGGACTTCTTGGGGCACCTTAATAAAGATATAAAGAAAAAAAAAAAATTATAATAAATATTATGCTGGATACTATCAACCATTTTCTTTCTAATAATGATGTTTACCAAATCTTTTTTGCTGGTATAAATGACAAACTACAAAAAATATCTCATCTGTGAGAAATGTATTGTATATCTTTATGAAATGTAACAAATTTTAGTATAAACAATACAAGTTGGATATTTTTTTCATTCGCTCGCTAAGAAAATCTTTTTTTACGCATAAATCTGCCTCAAGTATTTGTTAATCAAGTCAAAATAAAAAAAATTTTGTGAAAAACATTTATAACCAAAATTTTTTGAAAAATAGGAAAATAGTCCTAGTAAGTCATGAAATTTTGATTTTTTTATTTCTAAAAAGCATGTTTTCCAGCTCTGTTAATAAGTTTTAAAAGTTTTCTGTTAACCTGTTTTCTCACTTTGTTAGTAAACTTTCATTCAACTAATTTTTGCCTAAAGCTTTCTTGGAAGTAAATTTGTATAATGAAAAAAAATACAACTTACCCTTAAGTACAAGCTTTTTGTTTGTTATTGAATATTTTTCCTTCTAATTAAAAAAATGCTTTGTAGCCCCCAATTTCCTGTGTCTCTTAGTTTATGATTCAAAAGTTAAACACTAGGTTGCGGGGGAATGTAAATGAATGTATTTTACAAAAATAAACTAGTTTTTAGTTTTCTTTTTAAATTACTTTGGTAAATAATAACTAATTATGTTGAAAATAAAAAAAATCGTAAAAATTTTTTTACGTCTTCATTAAGCAAATAATTTAGGCCAGGTGAATGAAAATGAGCAATTGCTTTTACTCAGTAATTGGTCATCTTTACGTTAATAAAAACTTTAGCAGTTATGATCAAATTTTTGATCATAACTGATCAAAGCAAACAAATTACTGAGCAAAAGCAATTGCTCATTTTTATTCACCCGGCCTTTTATTACGTCAAAAATAAAACAGTAATACAATTTTTTCGACATTAAATATGCTCCTAGAAATCTTCACAATTTCCTAGCAAAGCACCAAAGAAGAGCATTTAACTAGGAAGTTCTCGCTTCTTTTTCAACAACGCTTATTCGGCTGCCGTCGTTAAACCTCGGACATCTTGTTCTTTTTCAACAACGCTTATTCGGCTGCCGTCGTTAAACCTCGGACCTCTCGTTTTTGAACTATAACTCTAAGTACAGTACCACTGCTCTAGTAATATCGAAATATGCGCATTTAATTTATTAATTTTGAGTCTAATACATAATATAATTTGGAGCTATAACAATATAATAATTTATAACAATAAACTTTTTATTCTTTTTTTTTAATTATTACAATGTTTAAGATACAAATACAAATATACAAGAGAAAAATTACAAGTAAAGATATCGTAAAAATAAATAAATATAAAATAAATAAATGAAGAATGCGAATACACAAAGAAGACCATCAGGTCTTGTCGCAGAGAACCGGTGATGAAGAACTTGAAACTTAAAATTTATACAAAGTATAAAAGTCGTTATACGAATAAATTAAATCTTTAAGATTAAAAAACCCTTTCACAGCTAGAAAATAAAAATAAACAAAAAATGTATAAGTATTTGATTTAATAAAAAGAAAAAAGAAAATAAAAATAAGTCTTCATCGAGAACTCCTCGTAATTTTAAAAATATCATTAAATCCAAATGCATACAGACGTGGTCAAATGTATAAAGCACAAGAAAATTTTAAGTACATATATATATACATATTCAGTTTCATCACTGCATAGAAAATAAAAAAGTAAACTATTCAATGTTTAAAATGCAAAAATATATTATTAATAGAAAAAAAGATTTCCTTAATCTTTTTTTTGAATGAGAGATAACTCCATTCCAAAGAATATCAAAATATTTTAAAACTATTTTATTCCAAAGAGAAGCTCCTCAAAATGAAATGCTTGATTTTCCAAAAATAGTTTGAAGGAATAATGACAAATTATATTATCATTTCTTAAGTTGTACTTATTTTTATCTTTTAAGGTATATAAATTATGGAAATAAACTGGGTTGAAGTTAGTTTTACATTTATACATAAAACAAAAAATATTAAAAACATTTTGCAGATATATATCAAGAATTTCCACTTCAAATAAGATAGGCTCGGCATGAGTAAATCTATCTTTAAAATTAATAAGACGAGCAACATGCTTTTTTTGACGATAAAGAGGCCTAACTATGGATTTATTAGCACTACACCAAGCAATATTGGCATAGTGTAAATGACAATGGATAAAGGAGTAATATAATTGTGTTAAATTACGTTTATATAAAGCACTTCTAGCTTTATACAATGTTCCTACATTTTTAGCAACTTTTTTACACAAGAATTCTATGTGATATTTCCATTAAAGTTATTCATTGATGTAGATACCAAAAAAAATTTTATTAGTTACTCTTTTTATTAGCATTTTGTTAATAAAAAGAAATGGTAAATTGCAAAGCATAAGTTTTTTTTAGAAGCTGGATGACAAAGTATCCAACAAGTTTTTTCAACATTAAGTGAAAGCTTGTTTCTTTTAAACCATTCAGAAATTTTTGTTAATTTGATATTCATATTATAAAATAATTTTGTAATAATGTTATCAGATAAAAAGACGTTAGTGTCATCAGCAAACATGACACCAATCAAGTTCGAAGCATTATGTAAATCATTGATGTAAATGAGAAAGAAAGGAGCCCCAATCATAAAACCCAGGGGAAAACCACAATTTATTTAATAGATTGGATGGGTTAGTTAAATTACTATTAACAAACTATTAACGGTTGCTTAAATAGCTTTTAAGTAACAGTAAAACATTTTCTTTAATTCCATAATATTCAAGTTTTTTTTTTTAGTAGAATTTTTTGATCAATTGTATCAAAAGCTTTTGATAAATCTATTAAAATTCCCAACAATGTAAAACTTTTAATAGTACATCTTTTAGGGATTCATAAGACTTGATGGCAACATTACGATTTATACTAATGATTTATTACACTTAAGCATTTTAAAAAATCTTCATAAGATAATTCATAAGATGATAAAACCGAAGTTATTGGAAAATCATACTCGTCTATTTTATTAGTCACAAGAGGAGTTTTATTAGCTAGATTTGGGCCAACAGAAACAAAAAATTTATTCAATTCCAACTTATTACAGTTGGATCAGAGGAAAATTCATCAATAATTTTTATAGTTTTGGGCAGTGATCACGGTTTTATTTTCTGCATGCCAGTAAGTTTTTTAACAATTTCCCATGTGCGTTTACACATATGCTTGTTTATCCTGAGTAAATTTGATTAAAACAATTTTAAAAAATTTTTCCTTTGTCTTTCAAATTTTTTGGCATAATTTTTATAAAGAATCTTACATTCGTTTGTTTTGGCTTTTAAGTATTTGATATAAAGTTTTTGCTTAATATTAGAGGATTTTCTAAGATCTTTTGTGATCCATGGTGACATTAAATTTTTGTTTTTTTATTTAATGTACATTTTGGAAAGTGTACGTAATATATTTCATAAAAAGTTTTAAAG